TGTCGCCCGCAGCCCCCGCCCGAAGCCCCCACCCCTCCTCCGAGCACCGCACCACCCGAAGCCCCGCCCCCGAGCACCACACCACCCGAAGCTCCCGCCCCCCTCCGAGCACCACGCAGCCCGAAGCCCCCCCACTCCGAGCACCGTGCTGTCCGAAGCCCCCACCCCACCTCTGAGCACCACGCCGCCCAAAGCCCACGCCCCCCCCCTCCAAGTGCCGCGCCACCGAATACCAAAAAAAAAAAAAATCGAGCGCCGCCCTGCCCCAAGGTGCTGCCCCAAGCACGTGCTTGGTCGGCTGGTGGCTGGAGCCAGCCCTGTTTCTGGCTTAAGCATTGCAGAGGTAATGAGCAGATGCCTGCCAATGGCAGTAAACGCAGCCTTGCTGTCATTGCTCTGGAGAGCCTTGGGAAAGCATGAGCCAGGTTTTTTGGATGAGAATTAAAGTGCTGGGATAGAATGTTGTCACTGAACTGCTATGGGGAGAAACAAGGTATGAAGAAACGGTAATAGATATGACACAGCAGAGCTTGAGTTTTCTACCTGCTAAACAGAATTACTTTAGTGCAATGGTAAAACCGAGATTATAATCCCATAATAAGGATATTTAAAGTTCCCACAGAAATTCTTAGGAGTGTTATCTAGCAGTTGGAGCAAGGGACTCGGGGTAAGGAGTTGTAGGATCTGTTTTTATCTCTTTTCAGAGTAGCAGCCGTGTTAGTCTGTATCCGCAAAAAGAACAGGAGTACTTGTGGCACTTTAGAGACTAACACATTTATTTAAGCATAAGCTTTCGTGGGCTACAGCCCACTTCTTATCTCTGTCACTGTGAATTTAGGCAAGACATCTTACATCTTTTTACCTCTCTTTCCACAGCTATAAAGTGGGGATAATCTTTGCTTGTAGAGGGTAAGGTGTTGAGGCATAATATAACATAACTTCATATCTGCAGCTCTTTTCATCTGAAGATATCGTAGCATTACTGAGCCACATTCTGAGGCCCTTACTCCTGTTGAGTAGCTTCAAAGGGGCTAATTAAGAACGAAGAATCTGGCCCTAGGTTTGTAACTTGCAGAGAAGCACCTGATACCCTTGCACATGTTAACATACATTATGTGGAAAAATACAAAAATATCATTCTGCCCAGATCTCCATGCTGCTTACCCCTCCACCTAAGCATCTTTTATGGCTATGGCTTTTTTTGTCCTTTACTTACACCAGCTTTGTGCTACTTTTCATATGACCCCATATTGTTTATCCAGGCTTCCAATTTAATATGCTGAAAGACCTTTTCCTCTACTTAAAAAAAAAAGCCATCTTTTGCATGAAGGTTTCCACTTCTAAAGGTGGTATTCAGTGTTGTGTCTTGTACTGCATTGTACATGTGTTTTTATATTGTTAAGTCTGCAAAGCAAGAACC